GCCAACATCTATAATTCTCTTTGATAATTATTAATAAAAGGAACATGGAGCATAAAAAAATCATATTTGTCATGATAATGTATTTCACTAAGGAGATATTTATGATTTCCCGTCTGAAAGTATTGCCTGGTCGCCGTGTAAGATACAAATTACATTTTTAACATTTAAATTTTATGAACTGAAACCAATTGAAACGAATGATTAATTGTCCTTTAGCGATGTAACTTGATTTATTTCTAGACGCGAAGAAAGGTATGGAGTTCAAAAGCGAAATCACTGTTAATCTTAGATTGGACTTACCAAACGCGTTAACTGCCAGCTCCACGAAAAGCGTTATGGTGCTGTGTGTTAATCCTGTCCTCTGCTTCTGTTTTTTAGAAGAAGATTTTCACAATGACACGAAAGCGTTCTAGCGATGTTATTTTATATTGCTATAAACATAACAGACGATAAAGAAAGGAAATACACCATGGACTGAAAACGAATTCACTCGCCTGAAAAGAAAAACCAACAGCAAACCACAAATTACTGAAACTGACTTCAGATCCAGTGAATGCTATGTAATGCCAGCGAAAGCAACTCTTTGGTTTAAAAAAATACAAAAGACTGCTAAACCGATTTCTTCGCTGCCATAAAAGAAATTGTCATTAGTAAAAGAAAATCTGTCATATAATACGCTTAACAAGTAGAAACACAAGTATCACTAGAAAGAGTAACTAATTTACATGTTAATAGTGAATGCTACTCCTTAAGATGAATTAAATATGATAAAATCTTATTGCGATTGGTTTGTTTTCCATGAAGACGATTTTTTTTATTGAATATTTATTTTATAGTAGTAAAATATGTCTGAGTTTTAACATAACGAAAAAAGGGGTACATATGAAATCAAACGGTTTTCATGCAAATAAATCCTAGTTCAACAGGACAGCGTATGACGTCACTATACTCAATACGTTTCCTGCAATGTATGTTGCGCCGACTTGAATCCGAAGTATAAAACACTTTCACGGAATTAACACTAAAGAGTTTTTTTAACCCTTTAAACTTTGTATTGAATTGTATGAAAAAAAAGAAAAAAACAAAAGAAAATAAAACTAAGTTAAGTCTTCTTCTTATATCCGTATTGTCCTCGCTATATTTAGAGTTTAACATGGTAAACTGCATTTAAGTTTCTTTGTAAAATAAAATAGCACTTTAAGCTCCTTGGTCAAATAAAATCGTTATTAAAAGCGTAGACTGACAAAAGACTTTACTCAGCTCAAAAACTAATAATGTATAACATTTGAACTTTCCCTAGTTGTTTTGTAGTAGAGAATGGATAAAAATTAAACCATGACCTCCTGCAACCCTTTCCTAAGAGAACCGAAAATAAAGGGCCATTAGTCCAACCATGATAAAAAATGATAGTAATAAAATATTTGTACACAAAGTCATTCATACTCAGAAAAAAACAACTTAATAAGCTGTGGCTGATAAAAAATGAAAATATTCATACCATGTTTTAGTGATCAAGCAAGCTTTTGCAGCTGATATATACTTACAAAATAAGCATGTTATTTAGACGTTAACGTTCCGAGAAATACGGGATTTTGAAACGTTCTAAATTCTAATAGAAAGTAAAAGACAATACTGCTTTTTGTGTTAAGCCCATTTTCCTTTTAAATGGCGAATGGAATTTTTCGTTCACTAATTTCGTGACAGAGAAATTCTGTTTTTCAAACAGTTAAAATTTTATAGAAATCTAAATTTCCAATTTATTCTTGGATGTTCAGGATTGAAATTTTAAGTGCTGTACAGAAAATAGCCTAACTTTCAATACATGTGAACTTCAAAAAGTGATATTTGCTTCGTAGCAATAAACGAAATGAAATAAAATGAAATAAGAAACTTAATTAAAATTGTGCTATTGCATGATAAAAAAATCCTAAAATCTACAGGTTCATAAAAACACTATTACGCTTTGATTGACGTGATTGGATAATGAAAATGAACATACGTACGAGGGTATTTAATATTTCTTTCAAACGTCAAAATGATCTTTAAATTCACCATCGCATTAGTTAACAGATGTGAGTCCACATTGTTCTAAACTAATGGCCATTAATTTGCAGTCGGGAAAACACAGATACAATTTTTCACTACTGTCTTACGCACGGAAATTTTGACTTCCTATCTTTTTCATAATCTGTTTTGTTTGGTGCGTGTGCATGCGCAAACTTTTTCTAGATAAGCGATAACAAAATCCATAATAGCAACTTAAGTATGTAAATCCCACAGAAAAGAAAGATATTATATGTCTCATGTGCAGCTAAATACTGGCTAAGTAAGCCGAACACTAATTAAAAAATAAGAAGAACTATTTTAACGCTAAAATCATGTTCACAAAACGGCAATAAAAACATATAGTAATAATTTCCACTTACTGCAGTAATTCCATTCTGTTCTTTACATGCCATCTTTAATGAGGTAAAATGGAACGAGACAACAAATGCCTCCTTTGGTACCCGAAAGTTTCGTTCAATTTCGCCATCATTTAAACTCCTTGTTTAATGACCATTTGCTGTAAAAAAAAACAACAAATATTCAATAAAAAGTGTCCATTGTGACTTATGTTTAATTAGTAAGTCAATTTAGTTTCAAGAATTATTTTAAAACGTTCAAAAATGATGATTAGTGGGAAATGCCGAAACTTCTTTTACGAAAGCAAAAACCGATTTCTTGTTTTAACTAAGAAAATACAAAACTTTCCTTACGCTGCAAATTACGTCAACCTCTATAACAAACATTTGTATATATTTTTTTATTACATTTATGTGACAACTCTACAGATCAGTCTTTCCATTGTTAAGTCGTCTTGCATTGATCATTTCTTTTACTTTTCCCGTCTCGAATTCTTGGTTTGTAACCACGTGACAAGGTGGCAAATTTTTTTCGAAGAATTTATATGAAAATGGGTTTTAGTCAGGGTTCCCAGAGGAGAGAAATGCTTTTGTTCTTTTAGTGACCACCAACATGGTCGTCATTGCCTAGTTTCAAATCGAGAGGTGCTGGGTAGGAGTCCGTTTTTTATGGGATAAACGACACGAGACCCATATAGTCAGAAAGAGCATATTGAAATTAACAACATTTTCAAAGTTGGTCGGTTTATCGGGCCTATATTGAACGAGATACAGCTATTCAAAAGCTCCAAAATTTACTAAGAAATATATAGACGTCCGGACGACGTGTCCGGCAATCAATACATCTCTTATCAATTTTCAAGTTTATAAATAGCTGTGTCTTGTTTAATATTGGTCCGATCGACATCAAACTTCAGATTTTTCACTACCTCAATGTGCTCTTTCTGACTATGTGGGACTCGTGTTGTTTATCCCATATTAGTAAAATCCAGCTAGTGGTCTATTATCAATGCTGCGTTCTGATTGGTTGAGCTACTACTTAACAATTATTCTTTGAAATCGAGGCGAATAGTGGCAAAATATTTACCGAGCCGCGAAAGCGGCAAGGTAAATATTCCCAAAGCCACTATTCACCGAGATTGAAAGAATAATTGTTTTAGTATATACACACGAACTGATCTCAACAAAATCAGAGAGGAAACCATTAAAAAGCACGATTTGATTGACAGATCAAATCACGCGTAATTTTAAAAATAGATCTTTGCAGAATTTTCAAACATGGCAATTCACAAGTTTATCATTTCGCAAACAACAGCGTAATGGCTTAAATGGAACCGCTGAAAGTTTGAACTGTTTCCTTACCTGAGAAGAAAAGTCGAGCTTTGTTGTTTTCTGTTGACTCGCCAAGTTTATAGCCAAAAGGGTTTGTTGTGTCGTTCTTCGCATGAAGTGCTGACAAAAATGGCAGCTCGGTTGCACCAGGTAAGACGTCGTCTTCCTGTATCACTCTTTTTGCTGTTTACTTGAAACGTAGAATTTCTGCTAACATTTCCTTTTAAATTTGTTTGTCATAAATAAACTTCGATTTCTGAGCCAAAATTTTCTTGTTAGAAAACGCTGAGTTTTTCACGAAACGGCTTCTTCTACGCGAACACGCGGAAGTTGTAAACAATCCATCGAGCACAAAACTCAGCTACAGTAAATTGAAAAACGCCGTATTGAATCCTTCCAAGTCTTTTCTTGCCTTAAAAAAAAGTCAGCCTTAGGATTTTGTCGACTTTTAAAAGATCGTTCTCTAAAAAAATGGGAAAAACACCGAGCTCACACATTATCCACTCGCTAGGAGGTGAATATTGCTGAAGAGTCCGAGATAGCGAACCAATCAGATTGCTTAAATCACTAAGATCACTGAGTGTGTATATACTACTAGGCTATATGTTATAGCCCACTAGTAGCGAAAAGCGCCGGCTTTTTGGCGGCAAAAAAGGATTAAAGTCTAGCTTTAAGCAGCTACATTTTTTTATTCTCGTTATTTTTGACCAACTAGTTGGATTTTACTAAAACAATTATTCCCCTCGCCCTCATGGCCTCTGAGTCAATAGCCCATTCGGCCTTCGGCCTCATGGGCTATTGAATTGACTCAGAGCCCATTCGGGCTCTACGAATAATTCTTAAATAAACCGACTTGTACACAGCCCGTCAGGTAGACTGCAAAACAAACGTACTTTTTCGTATTCAAGTACACTGTACACACGAACAATTAAACAAAAGCTGAAAACGGAGAGCCTGAGTTAGAGCCTCACACCCGTAGGGCGTGTGAGGCTCTTACGCTGCTCTTACTCCCCTCTAAACCAATTTTTAGAAAAAACCCGACTGTTTTGCAATCTACCCCCCCAGGGGAATTGAGTTTTTAAATTTACGAATTTCATAAAGAGTTTGATGCTGTTTTTGTTATTACATTATTTTACACCTTTACAATTTACTTGGACCTAAAGTTATCCCAAAAATAACATACTGACAATGTTCTCATTCAGCGTTTTTGCAATTAAAAAATAATTTCCAAGGATTTTTTAAAGAAAAATATCATTTTATTTTGACTATTTACTTGGTTGATTTAATTTACAATTTAACCGCACATTTTAGCTCCGCCTGCCTACGCTTACAGATAAAATGTCGTCTCATCCTTCTGGTAATAAAAAAAAAATGCACCAAGACATCTTTTCTGATAAATTTTTCTTAACAAAAATAATACCTTTAGTTCATAGATATAAGTCGTGAAAAGAAAATATTGCTGGTCACAGTATCTAAGGCTATGCTCACACGATACTAGACTGCTTTTCATGGCGACCGACACGAATTCTATCCTGTATAGTATGAACACCTATCCGATATGTGACTCTCCACTTTAGAAATCGCCGTTTGGCTCCGTTAAAGAAATCGCACTGAAATCACTGTTCCTGTGCATGAATAGAAGCCCTATTTAAAGTTATGATCTTCCAATGATACTGCCTTGCAAAGATCCGGTAGCGGTTTGGTAAAGCCGTCCCGGCCATTCAAGAAATAGGTAAGCATTGTTCCTTTTCCCTGAGAGATAGAAACAAGAAAAAAACCTCATCGAAAATTTTTGGTAGTTTAATGAATTAAATATTTTTTCTAGTGAAGCAAAATTGTAATAAATGAGTCTTCTGTGAGATAAATCCAAATATGTAATTTTGAGTGGCGTAACGACGGAACATCAAGAAATAACAGAAAAGTGTTGTATTCCCTTAGTACCAGCCTTATATACCTAATTCCATAAAGGTTGCTTTGGAAATGGGTCATTGGCAAAAGGCATCGGGCACTTGGGCATTTTGCGGGAATTCGTTGCAATGATTTGCTTCAGTCGCAATTGACCAATACCCGAATCGACCTCTTTTGAATCAAGTATATGTATTGTGGCTCAATTTTATCCTTGGTTTAAATTTTATTTCCCTTTGATCTCGGGTTTGGTAATGTATGATGAGTTTAAAACAGAGGAAAATAAAATTTGAACTAAGGATAAGATTGAACCACAACATATACATCAAATACTTTTGATAAGGATCTTTTAGATCTTTTTCTATGGGCTATGTCAGGTCACTTTTCGTGATTTCTAGGTAAGTTCAAACAGGGGCGGATCCAGGATTTTTTTTTTAGGAGGGGGTACACTCGTCTCTTACTCTACTTCAACACCAATAAACCGCATAGTATTTTTTTTTGCAGAACACCAGTTGTATTAGAAAACCGCAGGTCATCTCAAGGGGGGGGGGGGGCGCACCCCCTGCACCCTCCCCCTAGATCCGCCCCTGTCAAAGCAAACCAAAACAAAACTATGGTAATTTATTTTTGAAGGTAAGGGGGGGGGGGGGGGGGGGGGGGGGGCGCACCCCCTGCACCCTCCCCCTAGATCCGCCCCTGTCAAAACAAACCAAAACAAAACTATGGTAATTTATTTTTGAAGGTACGAAAGAGGTTGGGGCTCCTTAAATAAAATACAAAAATAATACGATAATTGTTACCTTCATTGAGGTCCAGCCTCTTTCCTCAGTGTGATAACCACCGATCATATCCAATAATGATTTGCATTGAGAACTGAGATGGATCCTAAGAGCTGAAAAGAAAACCATACTTAACAATCACCCGGTAGAAGCCACTACCCCTGTTATTGATCGTTGGGAAACCAAACACTGCACTGGTTTGAAGTCCGTCCTTCCCTTTTTTGTTGTAAACAGAAAGAAAGATGTTTAACCAACTGCCAAATAGCTGATAGCTGTTCTGTAGTCTTGCATATTTTTTAGTGGTTCGGGCGCCAATCCATTATATAAATTTGTTTCTTTAGACAAGAAATTATATCTAGAAATTTATGGGTCTTTCTGTAACAATGTCTTCACGTTTTTTATCAGTCCGTGGCAGTACGGCTCTTGGATGAGAGCTAGTTCATCAGTGGGGGAGGGTGGGGCGCGCAGGCCGGAAGAGTAAAAACATCGAAACTGAGTACGCTATTTGGAAGAAAAATTAACCATTTCAAAGACAAACACATTGCGCGTGCACCTATTAAATTTCCGCGGATTACATAGTCTCTATTTTGTTGCGGAGTCTCTCGCGGGAATAGTGGCGTTGCTACGAATAATGGAAGCTAGAAAAACAAAAAAACAACAACAACAACAAAAACGGTTGCCTGATTTGTCACAAAGACAATTACCATCAAATTTAAGTTCTTCCATAATGTCAAAATTGCTGTGTGTTTAATAGAATAATAAACGTTTTCAATACTTTCTGTCACTTCAATGATAACTCACCTAGTCCACTAGACTCCATTCGGGAGGCTGTATTTACAGTATCACCAAATAAACAATATCGTGGCATCTTAAGACCTACAACCCCAGCCACACATGAACCTGACAGACAAGTAATAATATAAATTGATTTTTTTCCTATTTGTCCCTACGCAATTTGCACACAAAAATGGCAGCCGGCAAGGTAATCAGGTCGTATGAGAATTTGACTACGGAGCTACGAGGACGCTTGCAAACGAAGATTATCAACTTTACGATGTAAAAGAAAGTAATCAAATTTGAGGTGTCGCCTGTTCGGTTTTCACGACCTTGCCCTCAGTTGTCCTTATATTGTCAATAGCTCACCTTCGATACACTAAAATTCTAACATGACTCTGAGGCTTTCTGATCATTTTTCTATATTTGATTTGGTTTTCTTTGTACTCAAGTCTCTTCTGGGAATTGCTAGATATGGAGTCGTAAAAAAGTTGCAATTTTGTCCCTAAAGTCTCGGTGTCATGTTAGAATTTTAATATATCGAACGCGGATTATCGGTAGTATGATGAAGAAATATTAATTTTTATATTGTTATATAATTGCTCAATCACGTGACTGTATTTTATTATATGAATATCATACGTATGGATCTTGAATACCGTTTGTAAGCAATGATCCATAAAAGAAACTATTATTCAATAATTTGTTTCCAGGTGTATAAAAACCAAAGGAATAACTCGCGCGTTACTGAGATATTACGTCAAACCTATTTAACCTAGCTTACCTGAATGCAACCCAATTCGTAGCTGTAGCTGTTTCTGTGGTTGCTGTTTGATTTTAAAATTACACATATCACTTAACAGATCTAAAGACATATTTGCTATCTCTCCTGCATGTTTGATACCATTTCGGTTTGGCAGACCAGACACTACCATGTAAGAGTCACCAATTGTCTCAACCTAAGAAGAATACAAAGAAACGTAAAAGTATAATTTATTTTTTTCTTAGCAACCGTTAATCTTTTATGACTGAAAAGATATTAACAACATTTACGTTGACAGTAATGTTGCCATCACTGTAACGCGAGAAATGACAATCACTAATTTCTAATACATGTATTGCAATGACGAAATCGTAAAAAAGTAGAGCATTATACCTTGTAAAACACTAAAGTGACGCAGATATGTATAGAAGCATTGCGCGGGCATTCCAATGATAACTTAACAATCTAGAATTCAAGTTTATTTATGCTTACCTTGTAAACGTCATGACAATCAATGATGTTATCAAAGCAGGTATAAAGATCATTTAGTAAGTTTACGATCTGTAAAGAAAAAAGTTTTCTCTGAATACATTTTATTAACACCATTTTAGTGTTATGTGCTGCACATAAACTAACCTTATTTAGTTCTGTCACTTTACTGTTAAAATGTTTCTCATAAACTTTGCTTGTCAGTTATAAAGGTCTCGGTGCTACGTGGCACTCCGTAAAGTGACATGACAAGAAAAGGCAGAGTGAGCTTATTAACTCAGAATTTGCAAAAAGGACACTGAAGACGCTGCTCTCGCGTCCCTTAAAACTCTTCCCTGACTTAATAAAAGGACCAGGGGGGTTTGCCTTGACAAAATAAAGCCAACATTGCTATTTAACCAGTCCCTGGTTTAGATGTGAGTTACCTCCATTGGTTTACTATCAGAGGCCAGTGAAGTAAAGCCGACGATATCACTGAAGAATATGGTGACCTGATCAAAAGTTTCTGCTGTCACTGGTTCACCGCGTTTTAACTGCTCTGCTACACTCCTGCATAGGATCGATAATAATTTCAAATTACTAATAACCTAAATTACTTAATCTACTGAAGATAAAAAACAGAGCTTACCAGTATGATCAGTTAACAAGTCATATTGTCGATACATATGCTGTATATGTTGTTGCTATTTCAAGTCAAAATATTTTTTTGCTGTGATTTAAGATCGTGAGCTTAAATTTCGAGAGGATTTATTTTTGGTGATTTTTTTGCAAACGCGAAAAACGCGGAATTAAAGATCCGCGAAATTGAGTACCAATAAGGTAATCACTGAAAAAGGTGACTTGGTAAATAATTTAAGGGAGTTTTGGCGCGTTAGAAGATTTGAAACAACAGACTCTTTCTTCAGTTTTGAATCTTAGCTCAAGGCCAGGTACGGCGTCCGCCTCAATTGTCAGATGTCAAATGTCATGAATTGCAAACCAAAAGTTATAACAACATTAGTGCCAAGTAAGCTTTCAAAGGCAATAACAAAGTATACTGAATCACGAAAAACTATAATTATTAGCCGAAAATTCTTACTTTGGTAACATTCTGTATAACAAAGCGTCGGTTTTTAGCTTTTCCTCCTCCAGTTGTTGTGTTCTTTCAAGTACTGTTTCTTCTAGATGATCTGTGTATTTTTCCATCATTGCAATCATATTGTCCATGATGTTGATCTCTCTGTCAGCAAAAACAAAAACAACATGAATTGCGCAATATATTCTTAAAAGTAAACATCGCCCTTACATCGTCTTTTTATTGGTAAAAAAATCCTACTAATAACTTCCGATACTTGATTTTGAAAAACCCTGAAAAACTTGTAAGGCATGTATTGACGGTGCGATTTGTCTGATATTTTACTTTCCTACTACCCTCGCTTAGGCCCCATTTTTATGGAAAAAAGTTGTCCCGGGAAAGTTGGTCACCTAGCCCATACGAGTTAATTTTAGCGTGCGTTTATATGAGAATAAAGTTGTCATGACTTCGTTGCTTGAGCCAAAAGCTGACAACAGCGCTCTCGCATGCTCTGATTTGTCTTGCCTTGACCGAGTTGAGACGGCTTGGCTAGACTGCTTGCAGTCCGCCTTTTCTCTTAAAATCCGTCTAGTTCTTATCTCATCCAGCGCGATTGCAAACCACGACGTCGTTTCTCGCGGCTTTGCCGCTCGCGTGCTTAGGTTTCGCGTGCAGTAACTTTGCAAAGAAAAATAAGAGACTGCTCGCAGTTTAGCTGGGCGAGCCAAAGTGTTTATGTCTGGAAAAGTTGTCCGGCTAAGAGGGTGACCCGCCTAGGTGGGTCGCCCCTTCTCGCCGATCAGGCAACGTTTTGTTTCTCGATCATGTAAACGGCTCGCTAAGATTTGTAAGAAAAATAGATTGACTGCAAAGGACTGTAAACGAATATGCGGCAGAACGTGGGATCTAGAGAAGACCTGATCAGCAAAAATATACAAGGTACACACATTGAATTCTGCAAAGCTGATCGTACCACGTGAAAATTAACTTTGCAAGACATCAACACGACACCGAAAGAACCCAAAACAGAAAACACGATAATGGTGAATTAACAGCTGTCTACGGCTACAACCCGGCTCTGTTTTGGATTCTTTCAGTGTCGTGTTGATATCTTGCAAAGTTAATTTTCACGTAGTACGATCAACTTTGCAGAATTCAATGTGTCTACTTTGTAAGGAAATGTTGGAAAAGTTGGCCCACCCAGGGTCGCTCGGGTAGGCGAGTGATTCTTCTACCCAGGCCAAGTTTTCTCCATATAAGCAGGGCCTTAGTAAACTTCTGTAATAAGCATCTTATTAACTTCTCCCCTCTTACCACAACGTACTTACTTTCCATTATTTATTTTCTTGATTGTTTGAAGAATGTCACTAAATTTCGGCCTAATAACTGGATCTTCATCCCAACAAGACCGCATCATTCTCACAAAGAAACTATCATTATAACTGTTTGGTATAACAGGACGGAATGGAGGATTCTCTCTCCCCTGCACTCTGACAACAATTGCTGCAGACAAAAATTTAAAAATTTCATCAACAAGGAAATTCTTAATGCCGTGTGTCTGATTTAAACCCTTTGTAAAGGGGAACCTTTCTCAGGCGGATAGCACATACTTAACGAGAAACGTTCTGGTCAAAACATACGAAAAGTAGGTAATTAAATTGTCTTGTTTATTTGGAAAATGTCCTCGTAGCTAAAGAAACCGTATGAAGGTAAAAGATGATATTTAGAAATTGTTTTAAGATCCCTTTCCTCTAGAGGTACTGGACAAAGATTTAGACCGGGGACAATGGGTGGGGGGGAGGGGGGAAGGGGCTTCGTCCCGAAATTTACTATTCTTGATTGAAAAGGCACCGTCTTGAGAATACCTTCTATTTAAAAATGGTATCCCCCCTTTTCCTATCTACTTACGCACAACGCACCCCTTTTCTCAATCCTTTGAATAAAGTTGATGAACCAATTAGCGGAAGAAAATAAATAATTAAAATGATACTACCACAGGGTGCACCTGTTTGAAATATTTTACTGACGGCTCTTTAAACACCTAGGCGACGGATTTCCAAGCCTGAAAAATGCATTAGAGGGAGGGCCTCTTCAGGGCACATTTTCGTACTTTTGACCACATCTTAAGGTTCCTAATCTCCTCCTATGGGGAGATCTCTTAAAAGAGGAAGAGAGAATATGATTTAAATTTTTATTTCTGCAGCCGTTTCATTGATATAGCTAAATACTAACTGTTAAAGGTAATGTTAAGGACGTACTCTTTGCGTCCATAACGTCGTTTTTGCAATATGGAAGATCTCTTAGTAGAATCTCCTGTGCTATAATGCCATAACTGTATACATCTCCCTGTTGTGACTTGGATGCACTGTTTACTCCTTCTAAATGCTCCGGCGCACGCCATAACAGACCTGCAATGTGTTACACATATAATTTATGATCTTAACACATCCCTATATTGTACGGCCAGCTTTTAATGTTAACAGTCAATCGTTGAAGTTGCCTGATGAGTGTGGTCCTACAATTTCGGACCATACGAAACAGCACTGTCGCAAAAAACGATCAATGATTACTCCTGAAGCCTGAACTCCTGTGATTGTTAACAGTCAACGCTCTTCAATTAAATGAATTGAGCCCTCTACGAAATACGTTCTATCCAGAATACAAGTAATTCACCCTGATCAATATAAAGAAAGATGTTGTTCACCGTGAAATGTTTATGTCGTTTTACTAAAGACAGTCACTTTGTTATTGATCACTAAGTTTCGACCGCACAGTGCTGGTCTTCCTTAGGCGATGGTATCAATAAGCTACCGATTACCTTGAGTGAGTTTTGTAATGCACCAATCGTAAGCAACCACGGTGCAACCAATAGTCCCGCACATCAAATCGACCACGAAAAAGTACAGCGAATCCTCGCGTTATTTCACTCGTGAAAAGATGTTAAGGCTAGTAATATTGAATATGGATGGTTCCTGGTATTTACCATTATATTCTGCGTCAATTCCAATACTTGGATCAGACTTCTGTCCTCCTTTAAACTTCTCGAGTCCAATATCAGTTATTTTACAAACCCACCGGCTGTCTATTAGACAGTTGGAGGACTTTAAGTCTCCATGGCAACCTATGGAGCTTTTGTGCAGAAAACTCATGCCCTAAAGAGATTTCAAAAACAATTTGTAAATCAAGAGGCTTTTAAAGAAAAAGGTCCAGTCTTTTTAATGAGGATCTGTTTGAGTCACAAGCCAACGTTTCCCTTCTATTACGCGTTTCATGTACACAAAAAACACAGGTTATATGGGTCACGCTTTTTTTCCATTGATTAAGTGCATTGCCGTTCTCTACGTGGCAAAATTGCAGGGATGTATGTACTAAGGATCGGCCTTAAATAGAACGGGAAAAAAAACTTAACCAATTTCTCACAAATTTTTGATGAACTCAAATGTTTCGCCCCTGTTTTGCCCATTATTTTACAAGATCAAAGCTTTAGAAGAAACCTGATAAAACGTTGAAGATAAAAGAACTAACATAAAACCAATATGAAACAATCACGAGTGAGTTCTGACACGTTTAAGCTAAAGCTAATAGGTGTTTTACAATAACTGTGTGAATCCTAGCGCGCTGATTGATCGAGAGTTATAGCCCATGAAAATGACGTAACATGTCACGCAGTAACGGTTTTGTTTTTGGTTTTTCGGAAAAAAATAAATGTTATTGTAAAAAACAAATCGACCACAACTTTCCATGTCTACACTCTTATAGACCATAGAAATGACGCCATAAAATGTTCAAAACGTTGCAGTGAAACCACTCACCTGCGGCTCGTGGTTCCACTTGAGTTCTGAACATTTTATGACGTCCTCTTCTATGGTCTCTAAGAGTGTAGACCATAGAAAATTGTGCTCGATTTGTTAATTTTATGTAGCATGCTTTGCGCATAGTTTCTTACTCTTGCGATATCCGACGCAAATGATATTTGAAACATCCAGTCCAACTTCATCTTCTCATTGTTTAAAACGTCCTAAATGTGGAAAAAAGACAACTCTTTAGTAAAACCAAAAAGTATATATAGATAGATATCGCATCATGTTGTCGCAATTTTTTTTGCTAAACTGATAACGTCTCAAGCTTGACTTTCAAAACTAAAAACTAGAGGTAGAAACTATTAAGAAAGCAAACTTTACATTTTTATTCATTAGTCATTACGTCTGAGCATGCGCATAAATATTAATCTTAACTTTGTAGTTATAAAGTAATGCACTAGTCACCTGTAGGCTTCCTTTGTTACAGTACTGCGTTAGTATCCATATATTTGGCGAATCCACGCATGCGCCAATGAAACGATTGATATTTACATGTTGCAGGTCAAATACCTAAGACAATAAAACAATGGAAAGTTGGAACAAGAAAATCTACCTTTAAGTTATGTTAACACTAGTACTATACCGGATGGCTTTTGCACAGCTACGGAAATCTTACCGCAAAGAACTTCTATCCAAATACAAGAACCGAGATTTCGGCGCAATTTCTGCTACGGAATGACGCTGCGCCGCGCCGCGCCGATCTCGCAAGTGGAGCGTCACATATCGGATCGCTTTTGATCCATTCTTTGCAATGTGAACACCTGTTCGCATTCCCGTGGAAGCAAATAAGTGGGAAATAAGTAAATAAGTGGGAGCGAGCACTGGATTACTGTGACGGAAGTAAAAATTTAGGAGTGAGGACTAGAATTAAGTGCACTAAAGCCCCTCGGCCAACCGCGCCCGGCACGATGTTTGATGTGTGCATAGTTAGTAGAGGGGACTATTAAAATATTTTCTATAGTGCTTCAACTTCGTCAAGAATGTCTAAAATCGCCTCAAAATCATCGCCAAACAAGAATAAATCGTCTCCTGCATCTGCCTTCTTTGAGAGTGTGTTTGAGTTTGTACACCGTTGCAATCACGTGACAGGTTCGTTCAACATCAGAGACGGCTTGATTGTTTCGCTCTTTAAGGCTTGCCGACTTTCATAATCAGTCCGCTCAACTAACTATGATGTGTGTCAACGACTTGTGCCGCCACGGGCTCTGTTCATGGTATACCGGGTGGCTTTTCGTGTAGGGACAAAAAGCCCTCCGGCATAGTATGAACATAGCCTTAGCTGGATACAGACTAAAACAGTCGACTAAGAGCGTACCGGTAGTTGAAATCAAATTTTCACTTTTCATTTTACAACATACAATTAAGTCCAATTTGTTAGACATCCCTAGAGAGGGATATTTGATTTATTTCCCGCTAAATATGCATTTCTGCATTCTCACTGAGGTATTGCTGGCTCATTTAACTTACTTCCTTTAATTCCATAAGAATTTCTCTTGAAAGGCTTATGTGTGCTTTCCTCAGCTTCTTAACAGCCACAACAATAGACTGTGAAAACAAAGTTAAAGAAATAATTACCAGGGTCTAAAAAGATTACCCATAGTGCATGGTGTGCTGGGTCTGCAGCAATGTAATGTCTGGGTAATGATTATAAGATTGTTAAGTAAATAGTGTTTTAACAAGACTACAAACCACAACGAAACGCAATTGCCTCTCTGTCAAAAATGTTGGAAACTTTCTATAATGTTAATGCTGAAATGAAGGAACACTAACAAAACTTTTGGTAACTTTTTTATGTATATAATAGATTTTTCAGTTAGTTTAGGTCTTCAGTGGTAACTTTATTATTGTCATTATCATTATCATTATCATATCAAGTTGAAGTCGATCACAGTAACACTTAAGTAGTAACAAACCTTATAGACCGCCACACAAGTGAATATTTGTCCTCTAAAATCATCAAAGTCAGCACTAGTTCGACTATTCTGTCGTGAAATCATGCTACCTTCGGCAGAACTTCCACCATACATGCTTGAAATCTGAACAATAAATATATACTTTGTTACTTCTCTAACTTTTTTTTCATAGGAAGCTCACCAATATTGCTTCTTTGCACTTAAAATAGTGACCGTTATCGTCACTATCATCATCCTAATCATCATTATCACGCATCATTACTGTCGTTCCAAAATCATTTTATTTCTAGGGTCGCCCTCAATCGAAGTGAAAGGCTAAGGCTTAAAAATCCATATTAAGGTGGTCAAAAATACTTCGATAACTACAGAGTTTTCCTCAATCATCGTTAGTCAGATCTAAAGAAATAGTTTATTTTGCCTTTGTAACCAACATAATTAAAAAGGGTAATACCAATAATTGAAAAAGAAATACTGAAACGTGAAAGTTGTTATTGTTGTAGTTGTTATTTTGTGGCAACGTCCTATAAGCAATTCCGTTGGAGCGTTGTGTGTTAAGCTGTCTAAAGCTCTAAAAAACATTTGATTTTGAAGAAAACTCAGATAAAATCTGTGGATAGAGCGGCTGACACGTATCGTGGATGACATGGGTTTGAAGCCCACCGGGTAATCAGACTGCTTTTTGTGCTCCACATTTTTTATATGATGAATGTTACATGTTTCTCTCCATCGCGGTTCAGATAATAACATAAGCTTCATTTTTTTCCGGCGGTACATAGTGGTGACATTTTGTTTGTTTTCTTACTACACTTCGGGTATCCAAAGGTCTCCTTGTAAACCTCACTTCTTGTGACAAAACTTTCCACTGCTGGCTCAAAAGTGATGCCCGGAACGCTTTTCTCCTAAAGTGAAAAAATAGAACGATCAGTGTATTTATTTCCATTAAAAAACACCATTTTATATAGCGAAATTATACAATGGCGATACTTAATATTGACTAATATATTTTGAGACTGTGAGGTCACTTAAAATGGCCGCTTTTATCTCACATTTCTTGATGCATATAATTTACTATTTGCACATCTTTGATTTCTCTTAAAGTCGTCCAAAGAAAAATTGAAGACAGTGCTTATCCAAAACTTTGGCGGGAGGGGAAATCAGGGTGTAGTATGGGAGATGTGCAACTGTCGAATAGGAATAACAGTTAAACATGCAGTCCTTTGTGGTTAATGTTTGTAGTTAAACATCGTTCAACGCTTTTTGCAAGAGAAAATGTAGCATCTAGTTTTCAAAGAATTTTTTATCATCCAACGTCTCGCATGATGAATGACCTATATTAAACGAGGCATGGCACTCATTTGATAACCTGAGCTGCAATATTTGGTGATTAAAAAATTTTGTTTCGAACTAATCATGTGTAGTCCTTCGAGCCGTAAATATTTGAGAAAAGACTATATATAATTACCAATCCAAACTTGTGTCTTTAACCGAAGTGAAATGGTCCTGGCACATGAGTACAATAGAACAACTGGGACCAGCCACATGAAACCTAACCTCAGATGCAAATGCTAACGTCTCGAGCAAAACAAAGAGTGTGACTGAACTGGACGTCGAATATTATCTGTTACGTCCGACAATTATTGTGTAACTAGCCCCTGGGTCGTTGTACAGCTGTATTAGCATCCCCTTCTTTAATCACTTACTTGTAATAAAAGAGAAGAGCAAGTAAAAGAATTGTTATTCCCAGAAATCCTGACGTAATGTACACTGCAATCTTCCAAATTTCTGCCAAAAATAACAAATGTACAACTTGAGAATTGAGCATGACGGTAAAAACTTCCAGGATGTGCCCTGTTCATTAAAAACTCAACTTATATTCAAGGAAACTCGAATTCAAGCTCCGCACTAACATTGTATAAGCTAAAGTTATGGTGGCATTAGCATTCATCATGATGTTTATATGCTTCAAGTAAAATATTTTGTTGTTTGTAGAGTTTAAGTGGTCCATAAATCACGGTACACGTACAAAACCTTTGCGTACTCTTACTCCGAAATACGATCAATCGAACACACCCTAACTCCACTAAGCCGTTAAATAATATTGCGTCTACCTGGAGGAGGGCAAAATTCCCCGTTGAATCCACATTCGGGTCTTCCCAGTGGAGCAACTACACTTCCACCAGGCCAATAAGTTGTTACATTCAAAATTTCCAGTTTCTCCGTGCGACGAAAGTAGCTAGCCATATGAAACAGTTTACCATTGTGAAAGTTTTTCATTTGGAGACTCAATGATCTGTCACCATTTTCATCAATGAAGACAGGCCCAGAAATTCCTGCAAGTTGTAAGATAAACAATATAAATTTTGTCGCATTTAGATCTTCATTACACCCTTTAAGACTTTGTGCCATTTAATCTTGATGGTTTTTTTCGAAATTGTCAGAAGGCAGCCGGCTGGTACCATCTCGAACAGGTCTTCCATTGACTTTCCGCGTAACAAAGAAAAAAAAAATGAGCGTCGCTACCGGTGGCGGGTTATACTGTGGCGTACGCGGCTATTGTAACGATGAGATTTTACAAACCTTCGAAACTTCTGTTTGTTAAATGCGCCATAAGTGCTCTCCCATCCGTGAAATTTCCTCCTTTTTGTAGAATTTCATGGACTGCAAGTGCATACAGTACAACAGCATCGTGCAGAAAGCCAGCAAAAATGTCGACCTAAAAGTCAGCAAAAAGAGTGGCATATTTAACAGTGGACGAATGACAAACACTGATAGAAATCAAGAGTGCGCCTTCTAAGAGTTTTGGTTAACTCTGCTTACATTCTCACGAAAAAAAGAGCGAATCAGTTATTAAGCAGCTTAAAACATGACTTCGCCTTTTCGATTAAAAGGCAAAATATAATCACTTAAAAGCAGAAGTTAGAGCCAGTGCTTTTATTGATAATCTCGGACTGTTCTGAAGGGTGAAGGTATTACTCACTCCCCGCCCTTACCTGATTTTGTTTTCTCTTTTGTACGTGTGGAGCGAATTTCCAGCATGTCTTTTTATTCTCTAATCAGCATTCAGAATTGAGATGATTTGAAGAGCCAAATCGAAGCGTTCCCTGATGCTATGATGAGTTTTAAATTTTTTTAAAAAAAAAAATTTCTCCCTAGAATCGTCAGAAAGAAAGGGTCTACGAACATGAGAAGAAAAAATGTATGCAGATCTTTATCGCCTGGGCAGACGGATAGGTGGACTTTTGATTCCAGTTTCGTCAGATGGTCGGCTATGCCATGCTGATGAGCCCAAACGCAATCAAACCAGATCCATGGCTGTTTTCAGATGATTTACTTTTAAAACCCGGGCTTTGGTTCAAACCCAGGCTACGCAAAGCGAATATGATGTTCTCTATTTTTTTTTCTTTCCCTCCTTTTCTTTATTGAGAAGGGCACAGATTTGTTTTAAAGCAACAGCTACGCTCAACAGACAATGAGATTCTCTCCCGCTACGCTATGTTACAGGGATAGAAAGCAAGCTTTGCTACTATAGGCTACCCCTCTATCCTCTTGTTAAGTGAAAGCAAAGAAGTTAAGTGAAAGCAAAGAAATTTAGACTAACTTACCTCCTCATCTGGGGGCATATGATATCCAAGTCCCGCAAACAGGGGCATTTTTTGTCGAACTTTTTTCTCGAAGGCCTTATATTCTGGGGTAGCAGGAATGTAGTTGGAAATGTCCATGATGCCCTCAAACGCTTCACATGCATCTTTATCCCTTCCGTCATTCCCTTTGCAGGTGTCAATAGTTATATCAAAAGTAAAATAGGCGAACCCTGTGGTTACCATTCCCAAGTCGTACAAGTTGAGCATCATTTGTCGCACGGAAGTTCCATAACCGAGGAGAATAAACACTAAGAAGTGGATGTGGAGAGCATAATTAGCAATTATTGGATGAGGGTGAGCATGATGTGAATAATTATGCAGATCAAGAAGGTTATTTTCTGGTCTAAGGGCCTGTTTACATGGAGTTGGGGGACACCAGGTAGGTGAGGTAACCCACTTAGAAGGGGTTAAAAATTAACCTTCCTTTACAACCCCTCCATCCTAGGGTGCACTTTCTCAAGATTATTGAATGGTCGCCAAGCACGCGACAAGAAAAAATGCTGGCAAACCACGTGTTGGGGTGATTAATGCTCCTCTACACTCACTTGCTGCTCTTGCTGCAACCGTCAGTGCTGTGGCTTTATATTTTAACCTTTAATAATGATGCAAAGCCACCGCCAAAGGGAATTTTGCCCGAATTTGATGTATCACGAATTCCACCCCGACAAGGCGGGTTACCCCACCTTGAAACGTTCACATGGCAAAATTTGATGCTCCCTTGAGAGGGTTACCCGGTCTGGCAGACCGCGCTACCCACCTTGGCGGGTCATTCCACCTATTATGTAAATGTTATCAAATTAAGATGAGAGGTTACATGGACAGGTGCGTTACCTCACCTACCTGAGGACCCCACCTCCATGTAAACAGGCCCTAAGACGGGAACAAACTACGAGATTTGCATAATTATTCAAATCATATAACCAAAGCTCAATACAAAAATTGTTTTATTGCGCAATATGCTAACTTTTAAATAGACTGTTTTAAAAACATATGCCACTTTCGGGGCAGTTTCATAAAAACGAGCGAATATGTTTCATTTCGTGTAGTCTGTTTCTTGCGGCCTGCTATCGTTTTGAGGATGTAATTCAGCTATTTTGCATCCGCAAAGCGTGCGAAATTTTCGGGCCATTTTCTCAAGCATTGTACGGACACAACAGCCGAGACCCTCTTTGCATGATTTGTATTTGTATTTATTTATTTGCCACACGATTACAATAATTACAAAGAAATGCCAAAAAAAAAGTAGGAAGAAATGGCGAGGAGGCCTAAAGGAAACTATAGAGCTTATGTTAATTAGGCCTCCTCAATGACAATTTTTCGAAGATGGCATAAAAATTACGGCGACGGATACAAAATAGTATCAGGTGGAAAATTAAACTAATCAATATTACGGAAGTTTACAAATAATGTTGAATATTAAAAGGCTTTTTCGCAAGATTTCTGTTGGAGTATACTAATAATTATTACAAATAAATGCCTTATAAGTTCTCTTTAAAAGGAAAAAGGTGAGGAACCGTTGATGATGTTGGTGTTTAAGGTGTTGTAAAATTTAGGTCCTTGATAAAAACGGAAAATTGTTTGGTTCGAGTACGACAGAAAGGCAGACGAAATTTACACCAGTTTCTTGTATTACGCGAATGAATTTGACTTTGTAAAGTAAATTTACAATGAAATTTTAAAGGTAGAGTATGGTTTTGATAGGAGTACACGAATAAGCCTAGTTGTATTAAGTATATATCATGAAATTTTAAGATACCAAGATTTTGAAAGATTGGATCAGTATGTGCATCGAAAGTGGTTTTAACTATATGATTTCAGTAATCAGGTATTTTTCCTATCATCCGAAGTTTGACTATCCTGGAATAGGTGATGTCACACAAGGTTGAAAGAGACCGAAAAAACGACAAGTTAAAAACGAAAAAAACAAAAGTGAAAATAGACAAGTGCGCTTTATTTATTTAAAGTAAAACCAACTCTTTTGTATTCAGATTAACTTGTTAAGGTTGTCTGTGAATAAAAAAGTCTTCTATCCATTTTCAACGTATACGCATTTGAAAATTAACCTTCGCAACTTGCCAAATTACACTAAAAATAGCCTGAAATTTTCCTTTGCCAAGTTAAAAAGGAGAAAAACAAAAGTGAAAATAGACAAGTGCGCTTTAGTTATTGAAACTAAAATCGACTCTTTTGTATTCAGATTAACTTGTTAAGGTTGTCTGTGAATAAGTAAGTCTTCCATCCATTTTCAACGTATACGCGTTTGAAAATTAACCTTCGCAGCTTGCTAAATTACACTAAAAATAGCCTGAAATGTTTCCTTTGCCAAATTGAAAAGGGAAAAAACAAAAGTGAAAATAGACAAGTGCGCTTTATTTATTTAAACTAAAACCTGGACTCTTTTGTATTCAAATTAAGTTGTTAAGATTGTTTATGAATTAGTAAGTCTTCTATCCATTTTCAATTTATACGCATTTCAGGAAGCATTAATCCCCGTAACTTGCTAAATTATATACACTAAAAATAGCTGAAATTTTTTACCTGTGCCAATTAAAACCTTAATGATTCCTTTCAATAGCTATTACGTAAATGTTTTGCACTAAAGAGGAGTAGTGAAGCCAATTATCTTAAAATATTCTTCTCGCGTTCCATAAACAACTCCTGTGTTAAATTTTCAAGCACGTTTTCATGAGAGAGCACGAATTTTTTCCTTTCAGTTTATACACGTACTGTCATGGAACTTTTTCTTTTTATTTAACGCTCATCCCCCTTGAATTCGGAAAAAAACAAAAGAGAGCAGATCAATTAAGAAAGCATCGCTTACTCAAAGCAACTCCAGGCTTTTAATAGAAGCCTAACATGTGAAAACTCATTTATGGCTTATTTTGCATTTAAGCAGTGAATTCTTTAATATAGGCACCCATCTTGAAGGCTATATTAGGCCGAGGGTCTGAACTGGAACCTTTTTCACATCTCGAATTACTTTTGGCTCATATTCTGAGGGGCTTCTTTTCGAAATTTTAAGGCATTTCTGTCTCAAAATATATAATTATACATCGACGTTTACTTTCCGTCGCTATTACCAGCCGTTGTTTATTTTATTCGTTATCAGATTTAATAATACATGTCAATAAAAACGACAAAAGTTTAAATTGCTTTTGGCAAACGCGGAGTTTGGCACGAAATTACGTCCGGTAAATGTCAATGGTTCAAATTATACAACCCAGCTGGAGTGGTTTTAAAACGCGACATTTGGTGAAAGGTTGTTAAATTTCCTAGGTTTTCAAAGATAGATGTTGTTTCGTTGGGACAGTAGCAAATCCATTTGTAGTTTTAGGAATTATTTTTTCATTTAGTCATTTGCCTAAAAAATAAATATTTTGCAACTAAATTTATCGAATGAAGACACTTCAATGCATAATTTTAGGTCATTCGAGTGTTCCCGTTTTCAAGTGTTCCCACATGCGGTCCGGTACCCTATAGTTCATTTGATTAGGCGCCCCTTGATTTTGGTATTGAAACAAAGTAGGCACTTAGATCACATAGAGAGTTTTCCTGGTGTGGAACTTCCTTTCGAAGTCACTAGATGACTAGATATTGCCTTCCATACAGAATATCGAATGTAAACTTACATTCGCCGTCTGTTCGAAAATCAATGATCCAAAGAGCTCCGGGAGAAGTGTTCATTTATAAAAAAAAAAAGCCGGACTGAAAGTTTTGGGCAAATTAATTTTTCTTTTCAGCAATAATTGAGATAAATAATATTAAATTTTCTTGTTAAAGCATAAATAGGATTTCTATGGGGGACGCATGAAACCGTAATTGTAGTAATTAATCTCTGTTACGGAAATCATGGAAAAATCGACACCACAACCACAAGCTTTTTAATGCTGTGGATTGAAAAGGGGTTACCAAAAAAATTTCCTGTTTAAAGTGGATTTAAGACTTACAAATGATAACAATATTAATAAATGTAGCTGTGAAATATCTTTTTGTCCTTTATGCATAATGATAAAAAGCGACAAAACATTAGCAACATATTCAAATGACTCATTACCAAACAGTGCCGCGAAAATGACTTTGTTTATGTTTTTCTTTTTGTCACCGCAAAATTCAGGTTATTTTCGTGGTATTAATCCAGTTATCGGTAGAATATTAAACGTTGAACCATTTGATAGGAAAATTTCTTACTTACCATGGGCCACTTCTCTTGCGGAACGAAACATGCCCTTCAGTTGTTCATCTGTTGTAATGCCTGGGCTAAATACATGAAAATAAGACACCGAAAATCCACCACCTTTGACATCGTCGATTTCTTCCTTTATAAAACTAGCAGTTTGCGACCAAATACTCTCTGTGGAGGACACAATGGCAACTTGGGTCCAGTTATATTTTTTCATGATTTCGAGGAAAAACTTTCCAGTTTCTACGTACGTACCAACCGTTCGAACAAACGTAGGATACTTAAGTTTGTTTGATAAAGTGGACTCACCACAACCGAAAGAAATCATAGGATTATTCCAGTGCGCTGCCAGAAAACCTCCCGGCAAACAGCCAATGGAACATGCGGGTCCAATGTAAGCGTGTATATTTGGTATTTTTGTTTGCAAGTCAGCCATTGCTCTTAGGGTGGCCCCAGTGCTGCATTCACTATCCTTCCATTCGTAAGTTAAGTTATAATCTGGAAGAAGGTTCATTTTGTATTTAATCGTGTCGAAAGCGACAAGCAAAGCGGAAGCCATTCTTGGTCCAACTTGCCACGTTCCGTTCCATGGAATCAAGGCTCCAATTCTTATTTCTTGCCCCAATGTTGACGGCCGAAAAAACAGAAAACAGAGTGCTGTCAACAGCAAAATAACCAGACGACTCGCTGTCATGTCCACAAATGATAAACAATGATTATCCAAGGTGTAAGCTGCTGTTGGCTGGGACGATGTCTGCGATGTTTGTCTCAAGACCACGTTCACCGACTGGTAATCGATCCATCAGTTGTTTTACTAACCTGTGTGACACAGTCATATTCCCTGTCCATATGATTTGTTTTGGTCGCTAATCACTTTCAAAGAAAACATTATTTTGGAAATAGTAATTTCGGAAACTTACTTAAGGCAAGAAGTAGCTAATGATTAAAACAATTATTGCAGCTGTTTAAACAGATAGCTGTAATCCAATATAAAATATTAGAATACAGCTATCGCGCATGGCATTAGTCATTCGTTTGTCGTATGAGATGAATATTGCTTGAAATTATTCAAATTAATGTCAGATAATTTAAATTCAAATCAAAGGATGCTCTTCCTGTACCTAAATCTATGTAGCTTATCGATGAACAAAGACTATCAATTAACAACAATGATAAGTTTTGTTGTCTGTTGCGGTAAAAAATTGGAGAAAACAGGCTGAAAACAAACTAAAGATCAGTGGGTCGACTCACCTCACCCTTACAAATACCTTTATAGTCAAAACATATCTTTGACGCAATATTTTGAATTGCCAGAGGCACTTTAAACAATAATTGCTGAAGATAATGGAAGTGAAACTCTTGATTTTGATGAACTTGACTTCACACAAATTAAAGAGGTCGCGATACTCTTGTTTTATGTGATCTTAGTCAAATTTTGCGTTTACAGCCGGAGGCAAAGGTGAACGTTCGGCTATAAAACCTGCCCTGGTGATGAAAATGTTGTGGCCTTGTTGCGAAAACGAAGAAATGACCCCGAAGAAAAGACCGAAGACCAAAAAAAAAAAAAAAAAACCGAAAGCGAAGACCCCGTCGGTTATGCCGTTTCCACGGTCTTTGTTTGTCAAAAAGACCCGATGGGAAGACTCCTGATTTGTTTCCTTTAATTCTACGTCATCTTAGTTTCTCCAGAAATATCCAGCTCTATTTCTAATTTTCCAGATATTCATAAGGCATGTAATCAAAAACATTTGTCATTTCTTCCCATCTCCCAATAACTAGAACTAAGAAGCAGTTGTAGGAACCGTATAAACTTTTGTTGCCGAAATTTTTGTTTCCATCTAAAATTCTAAAACGGCCTTATTGTATGAAGTCTTGAATGTCCACAATCTGCCAACGAAGTTGAAAATTTAACAGTAATAATGGGATACAATGGTTTGTCAAGTCGATCCTTCAGTAAACTTGAAGGATCCAAGACACTTTGGAACTGAAGTTAGTGGTCAAGAATTGCTCTGCAAAGCCACGGAACTCCATATGATAAAAAATGAGAACCAAACTGATTACCGAACACTTCGACGCTCGAACTAGCGAGAAATTAAGAATTGCGAGACCCAGTTAAAGTGATCTGGATCTTAAAATAGGAGCGTGGCAAACAAAGTGATTTTACTTGAACAGTAAAACGGATACTCATAAACAGTGCAAAAAAGCGAGACGTAAACAAGAGAATACAATGGAATAAGTGCATAGTAGTGCGTAGTATTCTACTACCGTAGCTATTTCACGGTTCAAGTAAAATCACTTATCTTTGTTTAGAATACGTACTTTATCACGTGTAGAAACATTATAAAGGGAGCTAAATATTTGTTAAGAAAAAGATGCAAAGTCCTTGAAAAAAAAGGGAAGGGTCTTCGTTTTCGGGTTTTTGTACTCGGGTCTTCATTTTCAGGGGTTTTCGTTTTCGCAAATCATTGTAGGAGAATTTAGTTATACATAGTTACAAAACGATTTTGTATTGTCCCTTTGCCAGATCGAATGATCGCAATATTACCTTAATAAACAACAATCAAATTATACGATTTGTGGTGGATCAGTTCATTGGCAGTACTCTCTACGCGGAACACCAACAACCAACGTTTTGGTTCAGTTTTACCCTGGATTTAAATTTTATTTTACTTGTTCTTGTTTCAAGGTTACAAATTCCTTAACATACATTACCATTCTCAGAAACAAAGGAAAATAAAATATAAACCAGTGAACAAAATACAATACAAATCGCAAATACGGCCATTGCCGTGGAAACACGCCTTATAAAAGTTCAGTTGTCTTAACGAGATTTACTTCAATTGTTTACTGTAAGGTTTTTAATCTTCGATGCATTGGCGCTTTGGACAAGAAAAAATACAGACACTGAAATGTATGAAAAACAAACAAAAAACAAACAAACAAACAATATAAGAGAATTCTAGAACAGCAAGTTCGTCTATCAGAAGGATCTCCTGCTGTATGTGTCTCTCCTGCTACTTGTCATGACCACTTAACTTAATAATTCGAAATTCACCACAGACCCTAAGTTTTTGGATGGAATTCCTATAGAAAGATGCTGATTTTCGCTGCATTCAAGGGATCATGAACTATCACAGTTTAAGGTATTGGTATGCAACATAAATAATACATAGATAATCTTGCAGCAACCTCGTTCCCAGGTTTCTTTCCTACTGGAGACTGGTAGGAGAGAACCCTGGGAACGAGGATGGTCTTGCAGATGACCAGTCCAGAGCATTTGTGCGACACATTAGCTTGACGTCAGAGTGCGAAGTTCCAGAGATCGACCCGCTTTACCGCTATTTAGTCCATGGAAATAGATATTAAAGAGCTGTCTCTCTTTTACAGCAAACTGTTCATCCCAGCGAGTAATAAAAGGGTTCATAATTTTTTTTCATATCTGATTGTTTTTTCACCGCGTATGCTTCACCTTCACTACTCTTGACTGTCAAACAGAAATTTCATNATACGGCCATTGCCGTGGAAACACGCCTTATAAAAGTTCAGTTGTCTTAACGAGATTTACTTCAATTGTTTACTGTAAGGTTTTTAATCTTCGATGCATTGGCGCTTTGGACAAGAAAAAATACAGACACTAAAATGTATGAAAAACAAACAAACAAACAAACAATATTAAAGAGAATTCTAGAACAGCAAGTTCGTCTATCAGAAGGATCTCCTGCTGTGTGTGTCTTTCCTGCTACTTGTCACTTTTTGGATGGAATTCCTATAGAAAGATGCTGATTTTCGCTGCATTCAAGGGATCATGAACTATCACAGTTTAAGGGATTGGCATGCAACATAAATAATACATAAATAATCTTACGGCAACCTCGTTCCCAGGTTTCTTTCCTACTGGGGACAGGCAGGAGAGAACCCTGGGAACGAGGATGGTCTTGCAGATGACCAGTCCAGAGCATTTCCACTTTTATGTGCGAAACATTAGCTTGACGTCAGAGTGCGAAGTTCCAGAGATCGACCCGCTTTTTCGCTATTTAGTCCATGGAAATAGATATTAAAGAGGTGTCTCTCTTTTACAGCAAACGGTTCATCCCAGCGAGTAATGAAAGGGTTCATAATTTTTTGTCATATCTGATTGTTTTTTCACCGCGTATGCTTCACAACGCTTGACTGTCAAACAGAAATTTCATAAAATGACAAGCCTCTTGTCACGTGACTCCAAATTTGCACCGTGATTGGGAAATTGCGGATCAAAACATTTCCAAAAGTGGAAATGCTCTGGACTGATGGCGCCATAAGTAGTTGGTCAGAATCAAGTCCACTCTCGTAAAAAAAGGTTTCATAGACTATCATTGCTATATCTTCTATTTGCCAGTTCCGTAGTAAGGGCAGAATAGGCCATTTGCACGATGGCGTCGTTTTACTACTACTACCAGAATCCTTTACGTTTTTCCTTTCATATTTTAATTTGGTAATCCCAGAGAGGTTTCAATAACAAAGCGCTAATTTGCACAAGAAAGCAAAACCCTGAAGGATTCTGGTCATAGTAGTAAAATGACGTCATAATGCAAATGGCCTATTAGGCAAATTAGTCCATTTCTCAGGGACTTGTTAAAAAAGACTTGAAAGGTAGTTGATGCAAAAAAAAATCTAATGCGGCGTGGCGGTTTGAAAAACATTTTTCATCGATTATAGAAAAGTATCTTTCAAAAAGGCGCCGATGGGAATCGAACCCACGACCTCCTGTTTACTAGACAGGCGCTCTAACCAACTGAGCTACAGCGCCAACTACGAGTTCAAAAAAAAAATTGTTGTGTTATGATCTTTTTTCAGCTTTAGCATGTTATTTATAAATAAAGATGTTTAATCGACACATTCTCGCATTAAAAATGAATTACAATGTGTTTAAAAGGTTCGGAAAATTACAAAAACCTAATTGGGACTGGGTTTACAAAATAATTAAAAATAGCAAAACCTACAAGAGTTACATAAATTTCAATCATAGCTACTAAAAAAAAAGTTATACTAAGAATTCAATTTTTAAAATTTAAACATTTAACAGTTAATTTTTGAAGGGTGTTGCGTTTGCCGTTAGGACAGTACTAGGGAAAAAGCTTCGCCTAAAACGCTCGGTTCTACATTTAAAAGACATCCAAGATTTAGAGTTTCTAAGGGAGTAGTCATGGGCAATAGACCTTATCGGGGTTAGATGTTTTGACAAGGGTCCGCCTTTGGTAATTTTATCGAAAGCCCTCATACAGAGTTCATTGCGCCTGTCTTTAGGGCTAGCGAATTTAGCACGTTGTAAGGCTTCCTGGTATGAGGATCGAGGGTATATTATCCTAAGAGCTCGCATTTGGACCCGCTCTATTCCACTAGACAGGTAGGCGGGAAGGGCGTTGTGCCAAACCACGTAACAGTACTCTAGGACGGAACGTACGAGAGCGACGTAGATAACAAGAAGCTCAGCCACACTGACGCCACCTCTACGTAGAACACGGATAATGTGCAGACGTTTGAATGCCTTGGATACAATCATACAGGTGTTCTCATTCCATTTCAGATTGTCCTGCATAACTAAACCTAGAACCTTGTGCGAATGAACATTACTGTTTCGAGTATTTGTCCATCGATTCGTATGGGGGATAGTTGACGGGTCGCTTTAAAGAAACACACACGTAGCTCTTTACACTTTTTAGCATTAAGCTTCATCAGGTTCATCGAGGCCCAGGAGCTGACAGTGTCTAATGTAGACTGAATGGACGCACCACCGTTCTTAGTAAGACATTCCGAAATAGAAACATCGTCCACAAACTTCCACAGATTCGTTTCAGGAGTGGGTATGGATAAGTCATTGATCATGATGAGAAATAGGATAGGGCCCAGTTTAGTTCCCTGGGGTACACCGGCATTGACTGGCAGCCAATCTGAAAACGCTTCTCCAAGTTTTACGGGTTGTCTTCGGTCTGAGAGGAAACTAATGATCCATGGTATAAGACACCGTCGAACACCTAAATCTACCAGTTTTCTAATCAGTAACTAATAAGGTGTGACTAATAAGGTCAAAGGCTTTCGAAAAGTCCAAGAAGCAAAGACGGAGGTGTTTATTTGGTGAATCTAGATAGGACAACCAGGTGTGCATGGAAGAAGTCCGAACACAACTAAATTTTGGAAGAGAATTCATTGCATGTAATTTATTAGTAACGATATGTCCAGTTTTCTGTTGTCACTAAATAAAAAATTTCTTCTCATACTCTGAATAATGTGTTATTATATACATACAGCGCCCATCAAGATCAAACAATCCCGCAAGAGGTCGCTTACAAAATAAGAGAATTAATTTGGAGAATTTTAAAATCGTTATTTTTTTCAACATCCAAAAAAGAGGTCGGTTTCGCTTACAAGAGGTGGTATTTTACGTGAGGGTCTAACAGTAGTGATTTGACTGTGGTTGCTTATAGGAGGTGGTCGCTTAGGAGAGGTGGTCGGACACAGAGGTTCCTCTGTATCGGATGCGTAAAATTTTCTGGCTTAGCTTCCGATAAAAAAAAAAAAAAGTATTTAATTTACTCTTCTAACCGTACCGTTTTATTCTCTGCTTTTATCTCTTTTGCTTTTGTTGTTGTTGTTGTATTTTTTAATGTCCTCTTTGTTGTCTGGCGGTTTGGGCGTGCCACATCCGGGGGTGAAGGCTCTTTGGGGAGCAAGGGTGTCGCAGTGGTGAGAGCGCTCGACACAGCGCAGACTGCAGACTGCAGACTGCAAACTACAGATTGCAGACCGCAGACTGCAGACCACAGATTGCAGATTGCAAATTAAAAGACACCAAAAATCTTCCGAATAAAGGTGACACCATCAAAAATATAACATCGTGTGAAAGTGAGAAAGTAGCCTGGGAACGAAGTGGATATTTTTAATAACTCATCCGGCATATCACTAATTGCGTTGATTCATTCTTCTTCTTTGATTATTGTGAATTGATAATGGCAAATAGTAGTCTTCTGTAAAAAAAAAGTTTTAAGACTGCGAGCACTTCGTGCTCACTACGGTTACGTCGAGAAAAACAACTAGGATAGATCACGGACATTTAACACCTTTAAATGACGTATTTCTTCTTAGCAGTATTTAAGGGTATGCAAAATAATCTAAACCGAACAGATCCTACCTGGACTCGACAAATTACCGGAAGTGCATTTTGAATTTCTAAAATAATAGGGAAATCGACAATGGCTTTTTTAACAGGCCAATCATTGCTCATACTCAAACCCTAGTACACAGGTGTTTCACAGACAGACTTATATAACCAGAGTTTAGTTTCGTCTGTGGTGCAGGCTAAATTGCTAGCCTGTTGCTATGGATTCATGAGCGACTTTGTGACATTGGCAGACATTATTCTGCTCTAATTCAATACGAGAAGAACAGCCAACAACTCCTTCAGGAATCAGGTCGGTGTAATTTGCGTAAAAAATAATAATAAACTTCGCTTCTAGGTCTTACATGTACTTCTCGGAATGAGGTAATGTTGATGATGACGCCACCTTTATTACGATATTTTTGGTTTCATTCAATTTACAGTCTTGCTGCCTCATGCAGTCTGCAGTCTGCAGGTCTGCAAATGTCATACACCGCTTGAGAAGCGAGACTTCCTCTTCCCACCTCTTCATGATCTCATGCTTTTCGACGATCATTCTTTTTGTTCGGATTGGTGTATCTAAAATAAAGGTAACAAATTCCAAACAAAAACTTGCAAATGCCATTTACCATTATGAGAAAAGGAAACCTATAATTTATAAGGACGATGTGACGTTTTGCTGTTTCGGCCTTTTTGGGCCTCGTCAGCACGGCGTAGCAACATTACACAGAGTGAGCAGAAGTAATGTAAAACAGGATTCCACAATCACCTGTCAGTTACAGGTGAGTAAGAAGCAACCGTGGACAGCAATAGGAATAAGTGGAGTTTGTAAATTCTCTTTTTCATCTAATTTTACTCTAAGCGGTAGAGGTTTGCGCTATAAATCGGACATCAACTTGACTTGACTGAAAAAAAAATGCTAGGACAGAACAATAGATTCGACTTCATTATTTCCCCAGGGAAAGTTTCCTTTGATTATCTCGGACAAAGTACACTGAGTAGATGTCGAAGGATGCTTACCACATGCACAGTATCTTTTTTCATTGCACCTCTGTGCACGGGAAGTTAGTTTTGCCTTCTCAGCAGTAATTTTACTGCGGAGGCGTGTTCGTTGCTTGGATGAATCTGCGTTTGATATGAAAAATTACCAACAAAGAAACAAAGTTTAAAAAAAAATGAAAAAACAACTCGCTTAAAGAAAGGCATCCCTTTGAGCTAAATTTTCCACATATAGGCAATAGCCAAACGAAAAAAAAGCACCAACATACCAGGCAATTTGCTCATTGACTGTGATATAAGCTCTATGTTGGAAATTGGAAACCAACATTTCCATCTCGTCTTGTAGGCAAACGCCGGCAGTACCCTGCACAGCTTTCTCCTTGAAGGCTTACTCTCGATTAGCCTAGCATTAACCAGGGGCACCCAGCGGAAATTTTCGGAAAATATCTGTTCGGAAGACGATTTGAGATCTAGAATTTTCGGAACATTTGTCGTAAAATTTCTTGCTTGCCTACCTCTCCTAGGATTTTCGAACATCTACAAAATGGTATAATTGCCCATTTTCAAAGGATTTTGACCCTAAAAAAGGCCACCTAGAATTTTCGGGAGCCTTTTCCTGGCTGAAATTTTCGAGAACCTAAGTTTTTATCCCTATAATTTTCGGATCACTTGACTTTCAGCTAGGAAATCCGAACAGATGAAAAGTTTTTAGCGGATAAAAATATGCCTATATCTACCGTTTAAATACTAAAATACGTTCAACAATGCTATGTTAAGTGGCTTTGAACTATATCCTCGTTGGGTGCCTCTGATTAACTAAAAGAAAGAAAACCCTGTTGTGAATAAGTCCGTTAAGTTCCTCACATGTTTATGCATTAATTCTAAGGGAGCTCGTGCCTGGACAGCTAAGATGGCAACAAGGGATCAAAACATAATAATCAATAGGTAAAATGAGTACATGCAACAGGTGAGAAAATAGTGAAGAAGTGTGAAACTACCCAATTCAGTTTTTAAACTGCTTCCTGTCTGGGTTGGTTGAATTCCCAGATAATAACCATGGCTGGCAAAACACTTACTTTCAGGAAGCATGTACTTAGTTGTGTTTCCACATCGTCACATATGACAGTTTATCTGCTCCACTTCTTCACCAGTGGAGGCAGCACTCCCATCTTGCCAACGACCACCCCATATTACCTGATAATAAAATTATATTCAGTTGTTTAGGGTCATATTAACTAAAATATTAAGTTCTAAAAAATGTGACATATTCTGTAGACATTTTGCAGTCAGGTTTGAGATTGCATTTCTTTCTCATAAACTACAGTGCAGCATCGTCAAGGCTGTACTCCGGCAGTGCCTGGTGGCCCCTTCTGTTCCTAGGTGACTAGAAAATCTTACTTCTTATCCTAGATTTCACAGGTTCAGAGGATGAACCCCTTCAGTTTTTTCTTAGAGCAAAACCTTGATAACTATATATTATGCATTATATTATGCATTATGGACAAGGCAGGTTTCATACCCCTTCCTTCAAGACCAACTGCCTTTCTTGCCCACTTCCAGTACTTGCAAACTATATCCTCCCAAAAGTACTTGACCCCAGCTGGTATCATTTTCTTTGGGTGAATATAGTTTGCATTAAGCCATATAGTTCTCCTTGGAACATGTTAACAGTCCACTGGGCCAGGCCATGCCTACAACCTGTTAATTGAAGTTGCAGTTTATACTTAGCACAACTTCCCTTGTAATAACAACTTTTCTTGTACTAATAACAAATGGCAACATAATAACATTGATAATGATAATAAAATCAATAATAATAATATTACAATATTACATGTGAAAGAATTATTTCATTAGCATCAGGGCTGTCATTCAGTGCCAGGGGTCAGGGATTATACACAGTTACTATAATCATGACCCCCACTTACTTTAAAAGAAAAATAAAGAAAATAGCCACTGTAGAACCGAAAGAGATCATCAATAGCTGAAAGATTTCCTGCCCACTCTTTCCATTTACCTGACAACTTAAAATATTAGTGATAGCCCTGATCATAATCAATATTGCATATATTCCATTTGACCTGCAATCTCACGTCTGGTCTCATCTAGTTTAGCTGACTTTCTGCCTCCATTGTTTGCAGCCGCCAGTGAGTGTCTCCACATCTATTATCACTCTCCTGTAAGAACAAAATGAAAGAAGATTAGGAGATTTGAATCAGATATAAATATATCTTATCATAAAGCTGTGCCCAAAGTACTGAAGCAGATGAATTATGGAATATTAGTCCTTGAATAACATGTGATGTAACATGAAGGTATCACTTTGATTCACTTAGTAGAAATCAAACATTTTATCAATAAATTTTGGCCTTATTTTAGGCACAGCTTTGATTGTTAGTTTTCATAAATGCATTATGCTATAACATATTAAATAAAAGCAATTGGAAGATAATTCAACCGTACTTCCTGGAAAAAATTAACAGTGAAGAAAAAAATGTATTATAATAAGCTTAGATCTGGATGTCTTTGAATATACTGCCTTCAAGTGGTTGTCTACTTTGCACTTGTTGGCAATAAAAATATTTGCATAATAAGATGGCCTTCGCTGACTAAAAGAATATAAGAAAACAAATAATTAAGGCCAATTCACATTTAAGTGACATTCCATATGAAAAGATTTTGAAAGTTCTTTTTAAAGATTCCCTCTATTTCTTTTTGTTGTTATTATCTCCCACTTTAAAGATGGCCATTATTCATAAGAAATGCCTTTTTTTGCTATTCTGTTCTCTAACCCTTAAAGGCTGCCCATACAAAGCTATTTAAAAAAAAAAAACAAAAACATGCAACAATATTTTAGCTCATCATACTTATGACTTAAAAGTTTATATCAAACTACAAGACCAGTATCAGTGCCAAGTATGAATTATTTGTAGACTAAATATAGCTTGCCAATTTAAAGAAGTAGCCCTCAGTCATAGGAAAACATTCGCTTTACTGAAGTTGAATGCTTACATGTACTGGGAGTGCACTAGAAAGTATTATGAAAAATAATCACACACATACGGTCACCATAGAATGTTAATTTTTTGTAATAGCAATACGAACTTAACGCTACCTTCCTGATGACTTGTATCTGTACAGTTTCATGTTACCATCCACATGACAAGAGTGCTGAAAAATGGAACATGTTGGACACTTCACCCAGTCCAGCCCTTGGAGACCCTCTAATTCAAACTGGCAAAACTTCCACTCTTTGAAAGATCGGCTAAAGGTGGCATGACTGATAGTAGGTGCCTGTCAAAATGATGCATGCATTGCAAAAATTGAAGTAAGTAAAACCGCTATTTGTTTAGGGCCTTAGTACAGCATTGGCAAAAACATATATCCTCTGCAATGGGAATTAAAAAAAAAAAATTCTTAAAATACATCTACAGTGAGTGGATTACCATCCACTATAAAGCAGGCCAGAAATGAGGCCTTTTCACCTATGATACCGTACAATTCCGAAAATAAGGCCCGAGGCTAATATTTTTCAAAGGCCCTTTTTGAGGGGCTTATTTTTGGAGGGGCTTATATTCGGAGGAGCTTATCTATGGAGGGAAGTTTGCGTTTCAAAATCAATTGGGCTAGAGTTATAGTTGGAAGTAAATTGACAGTTTTTGCTTTGTTTTACTTTGTATTTGAGGGCAATTTTCCAAATAAAAGCCCCCCCGGGGGCTTATATTTGGAGGGGCGATTTACACCTGAGTGGCTGTGTACTGTTCACTAGCTTCTTTAGTCAAAAGCTGATTTTTAACAGCTTACCTACATCTTTCTTTAATCCATTTTCACCAATGGTAATTGTTAGAGGGATAGCCTCAAAGAAACCATTTACAAAACCCTTCTCTGCAATGGAAACGCAAGGATGAATGTACCTTTCCATCACAGGAAGGGCAGTAAAATCTCTTGGGGCAGTCAGTCTTATGAGGACTTTCCCCTCACAACAATGTGGGCAGACGTTAGGTAAAGGCAGGCCCTCACAACTACGAACAGCCTCCAGCAGAAGTTTCCGGCTGCTATCCCATTTCATGGTTAAATTGGACATTCTGGTGTCCCATTTTTTCGTTGCAGGATCCTTATAATATTATGTGGTGAGAACGTTGTTGCAACTCATCAATGCAGCCTCAAGATCATCTGTGGAGAAGTAAACATTTGCTTGCCCTGGATCTGGTTGAAAGCAGTCTATGTTTCAACACCACAGGTATACAAAAAACACAGGCTAAATAGCAGGTGACAATGACAGATTGGCAGGGAAATGACACTCAAGGTATGATGATATGTAACTGAGTGAAGGCTAGTCACTATTATCACCCAATTATTATCTATTCATGTTGTCTTTCAGGAGCATGGTTAAAAACAACAAAAATATTTTTCCAATTAAACTGCTAATAAAAAAATAATATTGCAATCCAAGCTTTCACCAATCAATGGCATCATTAAGATATGCATTTGAAATACTAACAAATTTCTACTTGTATTAAAAAAAATTCCATTAATTTTACAATCTTAGACTTACAATCATCAGTAGATGGTACGCTCTGTTGTATTTCGGCGAGATTACAGACACTTACTTCATCAAGATCAGAGTTATCGCTATCTGCAAATTAGAAAATGACAACAATAACACTAAAAACAAAATAAGCGTAATAAAATAAAAATCGATTAAACTTAAGCTTGATTAACACACTGTATTACCACCAAGCAAGGCAAAGCCCTCTCTGAAGCTTACAATGTTACAAGCATTTATTAAGTAATGAGTACATTAACATGCAGTCAAGCAAATCAAAGTTCTAAAGGGAACAAAAAGAAGTTCATAATTGCCCCTGCAGGGATTTCTCCCAGAAGGCAACATCCCAAGAAGCAACTCTGTGAGTAACTCGCGTGTATATTAAGGAAAGTACTTACAGTTGAAATATACAGTCATACAGTCTATATGGAAAAAATCTTGATTTGCATGAACAAGGGCTGTGAGGAATTGGTAGGTAATGATGACGTTTCTATTGTTTGCGCCCACAAGTACGAAATGGTTAGGATGACGTAAAGACAGAACATCCCCAAGGGAACGCTTAGGTAGATTTTGTGACATTTATTGTACAGTCATACTTCGACACTCTTTTGTATTACATGTTATCAGTGACATTCTGTGGAGCAGTTGTTTCAGTGAAAGTTATGGACCAAAATTTTAATGACACTTGTTAAGCGCAGAAGAAGTTGTAAAGTGCGTATAACTGTGTATATATAAACACTTGGAGAGTTTGCCAGACACGAGTTCACAAATCTTTCATTGGAAACCTTGCCAGACACCCTTTCTCTCTCTTTGACCGGAATAAGAGTCAGCCCCAAACAAGCAAGACGAGTGAACAACGGCTAGCTTCTCACTAGCAGAACGATGGACGATTACAGAAATTTGCCGACAATCAAATTCTGTGCTGACTTATTCCCTACTCACAGATGTCCTTCCGCAGTAAAGTTTAAAATAAGACTAGAATGCGCGAGTGTGAATTGATCAAACTTTTAATTTCTAAGGCTTCCTTTCCGGCAAATAAAATGAACTGAATGTAAAAAGTGAAAGAGAAATAGTGAAAAATTCAACTTCTAATTATATCTTTTCTTATGGTTTAGAATAAACTATTCTTGAAACTGACAATGTTTTGATCAAAGCTCTGTAAATCGACTTGAAACTGTGCATGGAGCCTTGCATTTCCTGTCTTTATCTCACCTATTGTATGGAATATGTGTGAAAATCTTCCTTATGAATCGGTATACAGGGTGTCCAGCAGCATGGCTGCTCAAAAAAATGAGAAAATAGGAAACTCGAGATTGAGAAAATAGGAAAAATAGGAAACTTTGTATTAAAAAATAGGAGAAAAAGAGGAAAATCAATGGTACTTTCGTTGACATAGATAGCCTCCCTGCACCTCATCAAGGCTATAAGGCCAGAAGTCCTTAGCCTTTATGTTCGCAGGATTTAGACCAACTTTCGCGGCTTGGAGGGAGTGAAAAAGATCAGTAACGTTTAGTTTTTTGGCTCAGTTACGCTGTAATCAGAATGACATTCTTGACTACAGGTCGAGCGCGGTTGTATAATCAAAGGTGATCATATGACAATTCCCTTCAAGTTGGCGGCAAATCTTTGAAAAGCTTCAAAGAGTGAAATTTCTTAGAATAGAAATTTCTTACCATTGCATTGTCATTAAAGGATATTGAACTAAAAAGTCCCATGGAAAGCTTTCCTTCCATTAATCTACAATCGGTAGCTGGTTGAGAATATGATTGATTGAGTTAAATGAATGCATAGTTTTAAGTACCAAACCAGGTATAGCTGAGAACAAGAGCTCACCAAGAGAGCTAGTGCTGTGAACTAAATTGGAGTCTGTTCTTTTCATGTAGCATACAGAATCCAGCTGGTGATTGGTTCTTTAAACAAGAAGCTGATTGGATGATTTATCTGATCTGTGTTGTTAAAGGGCAACTTGATCATGTTTTCATTTTCAAAGATGAACATAAAAGGGAGCAAGACTTCAAAATAATTACATCATGAAGTATTCAGAGACTGAAATGCAGTTTCAGTGGGCTATGCACAATATTATTCAATAGTCATGAGAACTATAACATTTCATACAATACATCTACATGTAGGTGCACTAGAAAATTACACAAAAAGTAACAATAATTATAACAAAGATGTTACCAGAAACTCTAATGGGCAATACTGAGGTCATGGAAAGAGCAAATGTAATGTAAGTATTTATTTTTGCTATAAGAACACGAAAGTCAACATACTACTTGCTTTATGATAAATCTCACTCTAAAACACAATACAACTATAATCCAATTTTCAATATTTTAGCAAATTTTGGCTTCACTAACTAAAAAATAGGGAAAATAGGAGGGTTTTGTTTAAAAATAGGAGAAAATAGGAACACGCTCAAAAAATAGGAAAAAATAGGAACTGGACACCCTGGTATATTTCAAAGAGCTACACAACGAGCAAGAATGCTATTGACCGACAATATACAGAGCGGGGGCAGCTGTAGTGTCAACTATTACTACTAAGTTTATTTAGTTTTACCCTGACAGCTGGTAGTCACTGTGTGTTTTTCGTCTTCCTGTTACAGGATCACGAGAAATACGAAATCTTGTCTTTTTCCTTGGCTTCGTCTTTGAAGACTACAGGGGCGCGACCCATTCAACCAACATTCAGACCGGTCCGACCGGGAAAAGAGGACCACCTCAAAAGGTGGACCTGTTTTTTCGAAACTTTTCCGGTTGGACCGAACCGATCCATTGAGTTTTAGACCGAAATTTCCGGAAATTTTGGTTGAATGGATCGCGCCCCAGGAGTCTATTGCAGTCGTCAATAGACTCCTGATGCGCTTTTACTCCTTTCATTCAACCAAAATTCCAACCGGTCCGACCGGGAAAATTGGTCCACCTCAAAAGGTGGACCTGTTTTTTCGAAACTTTTCTGGTTGGACCGAACCGATCCATTGAGTTTTGGACCGAAATTTCCGGAAATTTCGGTTGAATGGATCGCGCCCCTTGGAGCAGCTTCCGAGCCGCTAAGCACTATGGGAAGTATATCAATAGTGAATTCACGATGGGTCAATTCACAGTGGATACTGTGGTCGTTACTGTGTTAGTTTGTTATTCTTTGGCCTTATTCTTTTGAACTCAGGCAGCGCTGACCTTTTTACACGTAAACAGGATTTGCATCTTTGTTGTCAGAAATCCGGACGGTATTAAAATACCATACAGATTCCGAGGAGAATCAAAATTAAGTGCAATAACAAGCGAACCCGAGGCTATTCAAATAAAGGTGTTGAGTTTGTTTACAGAAGCAAATGGCAAATAACAAAGGCAAAGTGGTTGTGGATGCTATTGAACCACAAGTGAAAGGCAAACACGAACACGTTGAGAATGCAAGCAGTACGTCAAGGCCTTTAGGAATAACAGAACGAGTTTTACTTGAAAGGCAACGTATTAATGGCTGGGGGACCGTAACAACGGTACTCATGGTGGATTCTACGCAAGAACTGAAGCAAGATGACCTCAGAAAAGCACTTGGCCTCCTTACTAAACGGTACCCTTTGCTTCGTATGAGAATAAGGGAAACCGCCGATGAAGTATTCTTTGAAGAAATGGAAGACCACGATAAAGTTGATTTTGACCTGTTGGACCAAATAACAGCCGATAACTGGGTACAAGGCACTGAGGCAGAACTTAACGATTATCATTTTGACATCACCAGCGGGCCTCTGTGGCGAGTCAAACTACTGAAAGAAAATTTCAGCGAGGGAAAATACAAAAACGCAGTGGTATTCACATTTATGCACGTCATCTGTGATGCGCTCTCTATTTTTGCGCTTCAAAGAAAGCTACTGGAATTTCTCAATTCTCTCAGCAGCGGCCAAGAAGTTGAAGCAGAAAGTCTTCCTCTTAGGCCTCCACTGGAATCACTGGCCGATGTTCTTCACCCTAGCACCAAAGAGAAGATATTGTTCTCGAGTTTCTTCAAGTTCCAGCAAACCAAAGCGTTTCTTGTTAAGCCTAAGAATTTGTTTCTATCGATTTATCCCCCTGTGGCAAGAAAAGATCCGGCGGTGACCAAGAAAACCAGTCTTTTGGCTCGCAGTCTCCCTGAAGAAGAAACCAAACTGCTCATCAACAGGTGTAAGGAAAACAGATGCACAGTCCATGGCCTAATTACTGCTTCCACGCATCTCGCGATTGCGCGAATTTTACATCGAGGGAAACACGATTTGAAATCTCCAGTGTCGCTGGAATCATCTTACACCATCAGTTTACGAAAAGATTGCGAGCCAAAGCTGAGCAACGAAGAATTTGGTGCTTACATGACCGCCTCTGGTTTGACAATCGCCGTGCCTCCGGTTGAGCCAAACGACAAGCAAGGCTTCTGGGAGTTCGCGCGTGAGTGCTCTCGCAAAGTCCACGCGCAGTTGGACTCTGGAAAGTATCGAAATCTACCGAAATTGTATCAGTGTGTTGATGTTCGATCGTACTGCAAAATGTCCAACATTGATT